AAGATGGCGCCAGCAGTGAGCACGGCGCACCATCTCTCTGTCCTGTTTGGACTATTGCTAGTTATTTTTATGCAAGTTTGGAGCCAAAAAGCCGCAGCATTAATAGTTTATGATCGACAAACACTTTTGAGCATTCGTGCATCTTATGAGGCACTATCGATCCATAATTTGGAGCCGCACGCTTCAACACATTTTACACCACCTTTTCTCTCATCTATACCGGCGTTCCTGCGCAGGGTCCCCTACTTTAATCTACGGAAAAAGCGCTCAAGAAGACGGCGTAAGCGAGGCGGTGTCCTCGTCCGAGTCAGAGCTTACCTAAAGGCGAATTCTGGTGGGAATTGCCTCCCTCACGCCTTTCAGCGAGCCAGGATCCGATGGATTACTCCAGTAACTTTGGACGGATGCTACGCTATGGATCACCTGTCTTCTCCGGCTTCCTGCTTCCTTCCCCGGTGCTCGAAAGGCAAACGTGGCATAGACCGGCGGAATATACGCGAACTAGCCCGTGCTCAATCTTTGAGTTCCGGGCACACCAAACTTCGCTTGGCGCTGCTGAACACCCGGTCGTTGGCTAATAAGACTTTTCTGCTTAATGACTTTTTTGTCTCCCGCGATCTGGATTATTTGTTCTTGACTGAGACGTGGCTTCGTGAGGGTGAGTGCTCAGCCTTTTCCGAACTCCTCCCACCTGGCTGCACATACTTTAATTCTCCCCGTTCCTCTGGGAAAGGTGGAGGGCTTGCTACAGTTTTTAAATCTAGCTTCCAGTGCTGCCAGTCTTCAAATATGGGTCCATATTCTAGCTTCGAGCTTCAACTCTTAAATATTCAGGCAAGCCCACGAGTTGTATGCGCAGTTATCTACCGCCCTCCGAAATTCAACAAACGCTTTATTCAAGAATTCTCTGATTTTCTGGCGGGTATTGTAACTGTTACGGACCATCTTTTAATCGCAGGAGACCTTAACGTCCACGTTTGTTGCGAGACCAAGCCACTGGCGAAAGAATTCTTAAGTGTCATTGACTCATTCAATCTTAGGCAGTGGATTTCTGGCCCAACCCACGAGAAAGGACATACGCTGGACCTTGTACTCACTTTGGGTCTAGATGTATGTGTGGAGGAAATTTGTGACATGCACATTTCGGACCACTTGCCAATTCTATTTAACATTGAACTGCCGGGTCCGGTTGTAAAACAGGATACCTCAGTGCGCACAGTGCGCGCGTTTACTCCACTAACCGTGGAGCAGTTTTCGTGTGCTTTTGCCTCCTTTACGCCTCCTGCACTCACATTCTCCGGTGCTCTGAGCGCAGAAGAGCTCAACACAATGTTCAACACTATTTGTACGGACATTCTGGACGCTGTCGCCCCACTTGTAATGAAGCGCGCCAAGCCCACGTCGGAGCCTTGGCTCAATGAAACCACTCGTGCGCTTAGACGCGAGTGCAGGCGCGCAGAGAGCGGAGGTGGAATAAGGACAAACTACACGTATCGCTTGAAATACTTAGAGCCTGTCTAGCTAATTATCAGAAAGCGGTAAAGACTGCAAAAGCTCAGTATATGTCGAATTTTATTTCAAATAACACCCAGAGACCGCAGGTTCTTTTTAATGTATTAAATCGTCTAGTTAACCCAGAGTCTTCACCTAGTCTTGTGCCATCAGTTTCACTGTGCAATGACTTTTTATTGTTCTTTGTCGGAAAAATATCCCAAATCAGGGCCTCTATACCAGTGTGTGTAGTCCTAATGATTCTTTGAACACTTTTGAATGTTGTGCCACTTTTAATGAGTTTCTGCCTGTATCGCTAAACGAACTCTCAAATATTGTTCAGCGTTTAAGACCCTCTAACTATCCACTGGATGCTATTCCTGCCCATTTTCTAAAAAGTGTTTTTCATGCTGTTGGCCCCTTTATTCAAAATATCATAAATGCCTCCCTTTTGTCTGGATGTGTTCCAGGAGCGTTCAAACAGGCTGTAGTCCAACCTCATCTAAAGAAACCCACCCTGGATCCTAAAATTCTGGCAAATTTTAGGCCAGTTTCAAAACTGCCATTTTTTAGCAAAGATTCTTGAGAAAATAGTCTATTATCAAATGCAGTCACATTTGGACTCAAATAGAATTTTTGAAAAGTTTCAGTCTGGCTTTAAATCACTTCATAGCACAGAAACAGCACTTCTGCGCGTTTTTAATGATCTTCTTTTAACTGTTGACTCTGGTTGCTCTGTGATTTTAGTTCTTTTAGATTTGTCTGCTGCTTTTGATACTGTTGACCACTGTATTTTACTCTCCCGCTTGGAACAATATGCAGGTTTTAAAGGCACAGCACTTAACTGGTTTAAATCTTATCTCACAGACAGATGTTTGTCAGTACATCTTGGCCCCCATAAATCTAACTCTGCTCCACTTACCTGCGGTGTTCCACAAGGATCTATTCTAGGTCCTGCATTATTTTCTCTTTATTTGTTGCCTCTAGGCTCAGTTCTTAGAAAAACACAATGTGTCTTATCATTTTTACGCTGACGACCTGCAAATCTATTTGCCCTTATCACCTGCCCCTGGCTCCATTAGTAGCTTGTCCTATTGTTTAGAGGAAGTGAAATCATGGCTAGCCCAAAACTTCTTAATTTTTAATGAGAAGAAGACAGAAATTGTGGTTTTTAATCCTAAATCCTCCACTGGTTTACATCACAACCTTGGCGCACTGTCTCCTTTTGTGAATTCCTCTGTCAGAGACCTTGGAGTATTCTTTGACAATTTGTTCAAAATGGACAAACAAATAACCTCTGTGGTAAAGGCCAGCTTCTACCAGCTCAGAATACTGAGTAAAGTGAAGGCTTACCTTCCAGCCAGTGACTTTGAACGACTTATTCACTTGTTTATAATGTCTCGTCTGGATTACTGTAATTCGCTGTATTGTGGACTAGACCAGCTCTCCTTACAGCGCTTACAACAAGTCCAGAATGCTGCAGCTCGTTTAGTAACAGGGACGAGAAAGAGAGAGCATATCACACCTGTACTGGCCTCTCTCCACTGGCTTCCTGTTCCTTTCAGGATTAATTTTAAAATTCTAATATTTGTTTTTAAATCCCTGAATGGCCTGGCTCCTGAGTATCTGTCTGAGCTGTTATCGCGCTATGTTCCAATCAGACCCCTCAGGTCAGAAAGCGGTTTGTTATTAAATGTCCCAAAGTCATGTTTGAAAACTCGGGGTGACAGGGCCTTTGCTGTGGCTGCCCCCAAGTTATGGAACAATCTGCCTCTCCACGTTCGAGCTGCTCCATCACTGGAGATTTTTAAATCTGATCTTAAGACACATTTCTTTGCTGCGGCTTTTAACTCTAATTAAATGTTTTATAAGCTATGTTTAATTTTTTTTTGTTTTGTTTGTTTGTTTTATTATTATATAGATATATTTTTCATATTTATTGTGCTGTATTTTACTATCTTTATTGTGCATGTGAAGCACTTTGGGCAGCTTGTGTTGTTGTAAATGTGCTATACAAATAAAGTTGACATTGACATTGACATATATAAAGCATTTCTCTATCAATAATATTTTTAATATGGTTAAGGAAAGACTGGACTTTTTATTGTCTTTAAGTAGACAAAAGTTATTATGTTCAGATTTCCTCGTCTTTGCTACTTTACAGCAAACAGTTTCTTATTCATGGAGACTTGGGCTCAACAGCCAATTTGGAGAGATTTGTTAAACAATAAATGACTTTATAAAGTCACTTTTTTAAATCTATATCAGTCTTTTGATCTGCCACAATAATGTAATAATGAATTTAAATGAAAATACCTCAAATTGAAGGCTTTTCTCAGCAATTTTTTAGGTGAGATTAAAATGAGATTAATTAGATTAATTAATTACAGATCATATATATATATATATATATATATATATATATATATATATATATATATTATTTTATTTTTTTTTTTTTTTTTACTGGTAAAAATCAGGCCCATCTCCTTTTGAGTAGGGATTCTGTTCTATTTACGCTGCACTTTGAAGCATGCAGTTTTAATGTGTCCGATGAAAAAGGTCCCGAGTGAGGCGTGGATCACTTACACGGCTCTGAAAGTTTGATGTGCTTCTTGTCAACTCACATTCACATCTTTGTCGCGTACACGAGCCGGGAGGGGGAGGGCATCTGACGAGACGGGGGTCAAACGGTTTTATTCAATTATTCATGTCGGACGTCAAAATGAAGTGGAGAGTCTTAATGCGTTTTTCTTCATTTTACTTTTTTTTTTTTTTTTTTTATATAATAAAGAGTCGTTTGGCATTTTCGTGCAGCGCTTTTCCATCTTCAAACTACGGAAGCCGAGAGGGGTCACAATGAACACAAATCCTGCGACGAATACAAATGTGACAACATGACAAAAAGCCACAACACACACAAAAAAAGCCACAACGGAAAGTGACCGCGGGACTCTATTTTAATGCAAATGCCGCAACAAATACAAATGCCACAACATATCAAAAAGTCACAACACATTAAAAAGCCACAACACATTAAAAGCCACAACAGAAGTGATCGCGGGACTCTATTTTCCAATGGACCAATCAAGCGGCAAGTGAAGAAGAAGAACTACAATGTGGAAAGTAAAGGAACGGAGAAGTTGGAAACGTAAGTAAAAGTAATTAATTTTTTTTATCATTATTCGTTTCACGTTGTAGTTCTTCTTCTTCACTTGCTGCTTCATCGGTTCTGCGGAAAATAGAGTCCCGCGGTCACTTCCGTTGTGGCTTTGTGTTGTGGCTTTTTAATGTGTTGTGGCATTTGTATTTGTTGTGGCGTTTGCATTAGAGTCTCGTGGTCATTTCCGTTGTGGCTTTTTTGGTTTGTTGTGGCTTTTAGTTGTGTTGTCGCATTTGTATTTGTTGCGGTGTTTCCGTTTGTTGTGAGGAACCGCTCTGTGTACGCACGCACTGGGGTGAACTGCAATGCAAAATGATTTTAAGCAGCACATTTTTCAGGAGCCTGTGGTCAGTCCGTGTTGAGTGTTGAGTGTTGGGATCATTAGGTTGTGATTTGCACTTTTGAATTTGCACATTCATCAGTTTGGTAAAAAAAAAAAAAGGGACACCTGGGACATTTCTTGTATAAAACTGGGACAAATCAGTGGTTTTGTATTAAACTGCTGAGACAGAGGACATAGGCTCAAAACTGGGACTGTCCCGGGTAAACAGGGATGTCTGGTGGTCCTGGTTTAGTCCTGATTTAATCCTGATTTAGTCCTGGTTTAGTCCCGGTTTAGTCCCAATTTAGTCCCGTTTAGTCCCGGTTTATTCCTGGTTTAGTCCTGTTTTAGTCCTGATTTAGTCCTGATTTAGTCCTGGTTTAGTCCCGGTTTAGTCCTGATTTAGTCCTGATTTAGTCCTGGTTTAGTCCTGGTTTAGTCCTGGTTTCAGTTTAGTCCTGATTTAATCCTAGTTTAATCCTGATTTAGTCCTGGTTCAGTCCTGCTTTAGTCCCGTCCTCTGGGACAGTTGTCATTTGCCTGTTTTCCTGTGAATATGGATAATCTGCTTCTCTGTTCTTGACCAGTGATGTTTTATTTTCTATCATCTTTCTGAATAAATAACAGTTATGTTGTTGATGGATATCGTGATCTTGGATTATACAAAAAACAAACTGAAAATAGGCAAGACAAAATGGATTTAAGCAGCACATTTTTCAGGAGCCTGTGATCAGTCCGTCCATGCACTCATTTAGGTGTTGAGTTTTGAGTGTTGGGATCATTAGGTTATGATTTACACTTTTCAGTTCGCACTTTTCATCTGAAACGACTTAAAAGTAGAAGTCAGATGACATTTGTGTTAGAAAATTGCCCAATGGAAGCTGATGTTGCCATAAATGCTAGTGAGCAGCAGATTTTATTTTTTTTTTCATTTGCAAGGGCGGAAAATAAGAAATTGCATTTATTCACGTTGCGATAATTGAGCAGTTTTTTGGTTTTTTTTGAGTAATATGTAATTTTTGAAATAGGTAATTTTACTTTTTCTCAAGTACATTTTTACCCAAGTATTTTAATTTATTATATTGGAACTCACCCTCGTTACTAAGTAAAATCAGATTGACAGAGAAAAAAAAAAACAAAAAAAACTACAGACTATAGAATCACTATAGAATGTACAGCAATTGTTCATAAATGTCAGTCTGTCTTAGATCAACTTGGATGGTGCTGGTGTCGAGTCACATTGAGGCCATCATGATATTTTAAAGGGCCCATCTCATGCAAAATCAACTTTTCAGAGCTTTCTACCTTCTAAGAGTGATGTGTGGACCTTGTATTTGTTGCCCAAGTGGTTTTTAGATTGATTCGATGTTTTTTTTAACACATTGCAGTGTATTTCTGCCCCCCTCCCACATGACAACGAACTAAAGCTACTACAACAATGATGCGGCAGCTACACCTATGACACATTTGACGTAGAGCTTCACACCTGCCCCCCTCCCCCGCTCCACCACCTCCACCCACTCACACACTGTCCTGTGTCTGCAC